CTGACTGGTTTACAAAGTAACAGCATTCTTTTCCAAGGAAGATGCAGGCGCCCCCTTTCTCAACAGTGAGGAGGTCAAGCGCCCATCTGTTCTAGAGGGCAACTCCCGCCAGGGAACTTACTTGGCTTTGTAAGGACGCTAGGGAGTTGGAGTCGGCCACTGTTGGTCCCACAGAAGAGCCTTTGTCTATGTTAATGCCTATCCCCGTGGCTATTCCTGCCCCAGGCGGATGGTAGTAACACAGCTCATTGAGCCTAGGCCTTAAGGCCGAAGGTTGTTCTAAACACCAACTTTTATCCTGAGAATCATCAGTCTCTTCCCCCACCCCCAAGCTAGACGCACATACATCATTGTAAACATCATTGAAAACACTTCCCCAAAATGGCATTGGCAACCTCCTTCCTGGCAGGCAAACCAGCAGACCGAAAGAGGTTACAACAGTATGAGCTTTTAAGCCCCTGATTTCTTCCATTCAATGTGCCCCACACTTACAAATGGGGCCCAGATTAGAGGAAATCGATACCAACAAAACATCCTATCCATAAGAGGAAAGTGAGTGCGAACAGGAACATCTATTTCCCCAGCTTTCTGGGGCAGCCTCTGCCAACCTGATGGCAAGGAGTAACGGTCTACTTACCTTAACAGGCCGGTGATTCCTCAAGCTTCTGCCATGCGTAGACCAGCCAGCTTCCAGGGTGTGGCTGGAGCAGGGCGGAAGATCGGACTTGGGCCGGTCTTCCCAAGTGTGGGGCTCCTCAGGCCTGGCCCTCTTGACTCTGGAGCGGTGGACCCCTGGAATGATACCTGTACGAGGCCCAGTCCCCAGTCTTTGACCTCGACAAGTCCCCTGGTGAGAGGGGGTGTAGACATGCAGACAGCCCCTCGGCACAAAGCGCAGGCTTACATCCTGGTCACTTTGGCCGGTGATGACGGTGCCAGCTTTGGCACGATGGGGCAAGACCGGGCCGTTCAGGAGGGAGCGGTCACCGGTCCTCTCCGGGTCCAGGGACTGGGGCCCCGATGCGGTCAGGCGGCTGGCCAGGAGTCCCCCTTGGCTCCTCGATAGCTGAGGTGTGGACCACCCGCTTGGAGCCACACCCGGGGCTGGTGCGGTCCGGGAGGCGGGGCTGGGGAAGCGGCTAGGGGCTGGATCTCGCGGCTGAAGGACCCGCTGCAGCCTCCCCATGGTGATCCGTACCACCGCAAGCTCTCGGGGTACTTGGGGGGCACGGCAGGGAAGGCGTCCACTGGCAGCTGCAGCACCATGGAGTCTCGGGCCACCCGGGCGGACACAGTGCCCCTGGGCGTGCCGGTGGCCGTGATGACGTCCAAGATGCTCGGGAGGCTGTTGGCGCTGTCCCCAAGGACCGCTTCCTTCCCATCAGGCCCTGGCAGACGCAGCTCCAGCAGCCCGTCCCGCACCACATAGGTCCTGGCATCCGGCTGGCCCGGCGGAAGACATAGTCACCCTGGCTGAGCCGCTGGAAGACCATGTGTCGGCAGAGCTCCAGGAAGAGCAGCTTCTCGACGCGGCCCAGCACCCGGACGTCCCTGAGCACGTAGAGCGTCTCGGAGGGCAGGTGGGAGTCATTCGGGTCACCCTCATCAAGTCAGCTTCAAGCACCGCGGGCGGGTGCTCCTTCTGTGGCAACGATGGTGCTTCCTTCTGGATGCCGGGATCCATGATACCTGGGGCCAGCCGGGGCTGGGGATTCCTGAACTCATTCGCAGTCTGCATTCCAGCAGGAGGATGAATACGGCTGTGACCATTACCTCGACTCCATCCCCGATCATCGTGTCCAGCACCTCCTTATTAGCTGCTTTCTCAGCGGCTCTGTCGGCCAGACGGTTTCCTTGTGCTGTAATGTTGTCTCCATTCTGGTGTCCTTTGCAGTGTAGAACTGTTAACTTCGGAAGCCACACAGCCTCGAGGAGCTTTCTTCCCTGCCTCG